GTCTCTGTTACACATTCTTTTTTTTTTTTTTAAAAAATGCTTTAAAAATGAAAATCCATTCTTCATTTGTGGGCTGTAAAAACAAAAACAGTAACAAAAGCAGGTCGTGGTCATGGGGTAGATTTGGCTTGTGCCCCTTAGTTTTTCCTGGCCCCAGCAATGTTACCAAATACCTCAGATGGTCAATTCCCAGTCCTTACCTTACTAGGCCAATGAGCACTATATGATTTATACTTTGATCATGCTTTCTTCCTTGAAAGATTTTCTTCACTTGGCTTCCAGGACATCACTCACATTCTCCTGGATCTCCTACTACCTCACAGGTCACTCCTCTTCTAGCCTTCTTTAGCTAGTTCTTCAATTTCCTGACCTATTACACTGGAATGCCTCAAGGCTTGCAGTCTTGAGTTCTTTCCTCCATCTACTGCTCCCCCACGCCCCCGCCCTGGCATGGTGAGCTCACCCAGACTCATCCATCCCTTGAAGTGGGTCAGGCTAGCTTGGACTCCTCTCTTTCACACCCCACTCTATCAGCTAATCCCATCAGTTCTACCTTCCAAATGAACCTAAAAGCTGATCATTTCTACTGAGGCCATTCTGGGTCTAGCCACCACCATCTCTTAACCTGGCTTACAGCAATAACCTCCAAATTGGTCACATCATTTCTACCTTTGCCTCCTTTAGTCTATCCAGAGTACCAGAGAGGATCTAGTTAAATACTAAGTTCAGATCATGTTACTCCTCCATTCAAAAACCCCCTACAGTTTCCCATGTAATGCACAATAAAGTCCAATACCCTTATAATGGCCTACAAGGCTGAACATGATTCAGACAGCCTGTCTCCAGCTGGACCACATTTAACCTCCCTTCTTCTCACCCTTAGCTGGGCCTGCTCAGCCGTGCTTGTCACCTTGATTTGCCTCAAAAAATGCAAAACACACTCCTACCTTAGGGCCTACTGCTCCTTGCTGCTCCCCGGGCTTGAACACTCTTATCACAAATACCTTTAAGGCTCACTTCTGTAACTCTTTCAGGTTTTTATTGAAATGTCACCTTCCAGTGAAGCCTTCCCTGACCTTCCTATTTATAATTGTGAATCCTTTACCACTGATCTCTAGTACTCCCCAGCTCCCCTAATACACTTTTCCAGAGAACTAATCATATCATTACCTAATGTTCTATATATAATGCTTACTTGTTTATTTTTTTTTTACCTGCATGAATTAAGACATTTTTGTTTGTTTGTGGATTTATCCCCAGAGCCTCAATTAAGACATGGACACAGTAGGTGCTCAAAATTTAAGGATAAATAAAACTGCTAATCATTCTAGAAGAGATGGTCCCACCAACAGCAGTACTTTAAGAATAAACTAAGAATTCTGTCTTAGAAAAAGAACTTATCTTGGTTTGACCAATAATAAAAGGCTAACCAGCAGTAAGTCAAATATTTCTTATAGTAGACTAATAAAAGCACAAATCATTTGGCAATGTCTGTTGGCAACTTTTTTTTAGATGCTTACTCTTTGACCTTTCAGTTCCACTTTGAAACATCCGTTCCACGGAAACAATCCCAAACATAGGAAAAACTATGTGCATAAATATTTAGAAGTAAAAACTTAGAAACTGTGTCTAACAGTGAACTGAGTAAAATATGGCACGTATCTTTGGCAGAAATAATGTCCATGAAATCCATTATTGTTTTGAAAACTTCAGTGGCTCCACTTTGCCTTAAAGACAAATTAGGCAACTTTTTCTCCCTTCCTCAGCCTGATATTTCACCCTTCCCTCTTCATAATCTATACTCTAGGCACATTTTACCAGCAGCTCTCTCCCCTCCCAAATTCTCCAATTTCTGGAGACTCTTAACATCTTAGTTTATGTGCCCTCCTAGGTACTCTGGCAGCACTTTTCACCAAAGTCATGCTTCATAGTAATTTATGGTAACTGCTTCTTTAATGGTCTTTTTCGCCCACCACAGTGAATACCTAAAACTTAGCATAAGCACCTGATCTTAAGTAGGCAATATATGTAGAAATGAACTAAGTACCATTACATAAATGTTTATGCCATTGTAAATTAACAAAGTTTTGGGGGACTGTATGATCTGTTTTCTTCTTTTGGAAAGTTCCAAGATTGTGTGGGTGTGCCCATGCATGCATGTGTGGGGAGAATTTTGTAATGGAAAAGAAAATATACTCGTGTGTGTGTGTGTGTGTGTGTGTGTGTGTGTGTGTGTGTGTGTAGGGAGTCAAAATGTAGTTAATAACATTCTAGTACTATATGGGCGCCTGGGTGGCTCAGTTGGTCAAGCAACTGCCTTCGGCTCAGGTCATGATCCTGGAGTCCCTGGGTCGAGTCCTGCATTGGGCATCCTGCTCGGCAGGGAGTCTGCTTGTCCCTCTGACCCTCCCCCCATCTCATGTGCTTTCTCTCTCTCTCATTGTCTCTCTCTCTCTCAAATAAATAAAATCTTTAAAAAAAAAAAAAAACATTATAGTACTATAAAATGCTTATAAAAACATTCCTCAAACTTCTTTTTCCTCTCAAAATGCGTAAAACCAAATAAAGACAACTATTATGTGAGGAGCCAACAAATGCAGCTAGTCCTTCTATTACCTGAGTGGAGTTAGATAGTTGGTTTTTCCACGGCTCCTCTGCGCTGCTGGTCAGGTTTGTGCGGTTATGAGGTAGAGTGAGTGCGTTTCGCTGCAGGTAAGGCACGTTTCCATTACTTCCACTTCCTGTTATGTGATTATTGCCTATCAAAATAGTGTCTGTACTCCCCAGCGTTCTTGATGTGCTACAGGGAACATGGCCTGTAGAAAAGGGTCCGTTGGCCAAAGGCTGCCCAGGGCAGGCAGGGCGGACTCCAGGCTGAGAGACGCTAGGCACTCTGGTCAGAGCAAGCTGGGGCTGCTGGCCAGAGACTGAGTTTGTAGGCAGTGATGAGTCAGCTGTTGGCCCATTAGGAATTCCAGTAGCTCGTACCTGTGCAACTCCTGTTTGTCTCATCTGTCAAAAAGCAAATGAAAAATAAATGCTGCTTGTGTGGCCCAAAAGGGAGAGAACCAGAATATGAAGGTGTGCGACCAGGTAATCTCTGATTTTCTCTAACATTTAATTTCTCTAGGTTGAAAAATACACACTTTTTAAAAACAAGAAACTGTGTTTATTCGTATTTAGATTAGCTCCCTCAGAAAAGCAGAAAAGTGTTTTGAGAAAAATCCCTTCAGTAATGACAAAAGAAAGCAGCTGAAAATTATGAAAACTGGAATTTATAGGTCTTTTCCCCAAGCAGAAAACAAGGGATCTCAAATTTTCATTCTATTTTATTTATATGCCAGATCCTTCAAACTAAACAAGTCCTGAAGAAAAGAACCTCACCTCAGTTTAGGATAGCTTGTTAAGTATTAAATAATATAAATAAACCCTTAGAACACAGGCAAAATGGCATGTAAATAAGTAACAAAATACCAACTCTTGTGCTCAAAATTAAATTTACAGCTATTTTTATCTAAAAATCTGTCATTAGTATTTTAAGAAGATTACTAAATTCCACCAAATACTGGCAGAAAGAAGTGGGCATGAACATGCTCTAAAAGGATGTTTTAGTCAAGAAAAATACTCAAAATGCTAACAAATTTTAGGGGAAAAAAATGCTATACACACTTGGTGTTGCTGCATTAAGACAAACTGACTTTCCAGCTGTTCCAGCATCAGTTTCTGTGCTGGATTTAAGTTATTTCTATTTGCACGGAGCTGTTCCAAGTGCTAGAAGAAGAAGAAAGGAGAATACAGTCAAAGGCATATCTAAGAAACCAGCTCAAGCTCACTATTCTAAGCAACCTTGTCCTGAAATGACTACACCAACTCAGAACCGCTATCTAGTCAAAGATACGGATTCCTGATCAACAGCAATCAACCCCAAGATGAAGCCCTTTAAAAAGTTTCAGAGAGTAAGAAATAAACACTCATCTAAAGAGGTTTACTATAATGTGATATCTGAGACAAATGGGCATAAAATTTTACTTGTCAATACAGTATTTTTTGGTATTCACACAAAAAGAAAGTTCTTTAAGCTTAAAAATGCATCATGTCAAGTACACTCAAAGCAGGACTGTTTGGAATAGAAAAAGTCTAAAGACAGCCTGACTATCCAAACCTAGTGCTCTGCTTAAATAAACGTGTGACATCTACATAAATAAATATGCTGTAGCCATAAAAGAACAAAGCAGCTCTTTACGTACTGACATGGAAAAGTCTGTAAAAATACATTATTAACAATATATATAGCATTCTACCATTTGTGTAAAAAAGGAGAAAAATAACATGAGAGCGAAGGAGGATGCATATTTGCTTGTACATGCATGCCATCTCAGGAAAGGTAGGTGAACTAGTAACACGGACTGGCCGTTAGAAGGAGAACTAAGTGGGTAGGAGCAGGAACTGGAAGGAGAATTTACTTTATATATATATAGCCTATAACCATACTGATGCAGTTTGAAGCATGTGAATATATTGCTTGTTTAAAAATAAAACTAAAAATAAGTGAAAAAAATCAAGAATAAATTATCCCATTACTCTGATAAAAGTGGGTTCATTTTGCTTATGTGCATATTAATTGGATTTACTGCCACTCAACATTAAGAATACTTAAAAATTTAAAGTTTACTGCTTGTACTCTTTTTCAAGAGGAAAAACAATCTGTCGAAAGCATATCGTACATACCTGTAATTTCTGTGGTGTCAAACACCACGAATGAGCTTGTTGCTGTACTGGAGGATGTGACACTGCATGGCCACTACTCCAATTATCAGAAGTATTCTGAGGAAAATTGATAAAAAAAAAAAAAATTAAAGAATATTTGGTTAAATCCATGGAGTTAACAATAATGACTAATGAAGGTCAAATGACTATGAATTGGAATATTACATATAAAAAATGTTATGACATTAAATTCTTTTAAAAATAATTTTACATGCATAATAAATTTGGGAAATCATAAATTTAAAACAAAAATATTGACTCTTTAATAAGCCACCCAAAAAGGCCCACCCCTAAACTATGGCCCAAATGGCTAACCTAAATACCACACTGTCCACTAGATCCAACAATAAATTTATCTCAATGTCAGGAGAAAGTGATGATGAAAAGTGTGTTGAGATCTTAACGGCAGGGAGATGAATAAAATGATTTGATGAATGCAAATTTATCCCTACTTTCTATATTTAATATGATGCTAAGAATTTGGGATAGAAAAACTCAAACCTTTCACTCTTTGATGTCCACAGATTTAATATAAAGGACAGGAGACAGTCAAACTGCACAAGTTCAGGGCAGTTGGGAGTTTCCTTTTTGACTGGGATTTTTCTATTTCTCTAAAACATATACCTTTGTTGGACTAGATGTTCTTTTCCTCTTGGCAGGACTGGACAGGTCATCTACTTGGCTAGAAGGAATCATGTGTAGTGGCAAGGATTGCTGTGAAATTGGTGTTTGACTGAGGCCTACTACAGGTTCAGTATTTGGATGATGAGGTTTACATGCCTAAGAATCACAGAAGGAAGACAAAAATAGGGTTCTATATATTCTTAGTTCATTCCTTCAAATTATAAAACTTTACAAACTGCATATTTTCAAAGCTATGTGGACATCGCTGATTGCAATTATTGAAAATCAAAATCAAATGAATCATCAATGGAGGAATGTGTACCTTCCTTTGAAAAACTGCTTTAAAAATTAAACAAACCACTGCAGCATTAAGAAATCTCCTTCAAAATCATGAAAATGCACAAAGGTTCTAAATTGGCACCCCAAAATTTCTTCCCATATCAGAGGGAGTTTTATTTTGATCTAGATTCCCTTTGCAATTACAGCAAAAGGCTTTTCATTAATAAAAGCCTCCTGTACTTTAGTAAAATACGCTTGACCACTACAGATTGAAAAGAACCCTTAAAGCTGGGCACCTGCAGAACATAACCCAACTTCTCACCTGCTGTGCTGTGTTCATGGCACCCTGCCTGGAGGTAAGCTCTGCGGGGATTGGTAGGCTCCACGCCTCCTCAATACTAGGAAGTAATTTAGTTTTATTCTGTAGACTACCTTGTGGAAGGTTACACAACTGAGCCTAGGAAAAATTATGTAAAAAGCAAATTTAACACAAGCCTACTTGAGTAAGAGCAAGTCCACTAAATCTTCCTAAATGCTATAACTAATTGTTTTTAAAAGAAAATAGATTCTTAATTTGGGGTTTCAGAAAGATACTAAGTATAAAGAGGGTAACCGGAATATAAACCTTTGTGAGAATTAAAACAAAGCTGAGCTCTGTTATCAGAGTTCTCATAGCTGTCTTCTCATGAAACTCCAAGCAAGAGTGAAAGACAGTGTTTGTGTTCTTTTCTCTAAAATGCTATGACAACTTAAAAATGTAGACAGCACATAGAAAAAAATTATGTAAATTAATATGCATCAACAGTAAATGTGCAAAAGAGCATCTTTTAAATACTGCATATCTTACTTAAAATGAAAAGTAAAATAATATTACAAGCTATGGTATGTTTACAAAATATGGAAACAAATTATAGACATCAAAACACAACTAGACAAACTTTCCAGCCACCCGCCTCCTGCCTGAGTGTCATGGGGAAACATGTGCCTTTAAAAAACTGCTATTTAAAAGTTTTACCTGTAAATACTTAATTCGTGCTGCAAGTGCAGAGGTATTACTACAACTTTTGCTTCTGGTTGCATTTAAGTAGCATTTAATGGCATCCTGAGGCTGGTTGCAGGATTCGTAGAGTGTGCCTAGGTCCATCCAGGCTGCAGCATGACCATGGTCCAATTGTACAGCACAAATATAAGCCTGTAAAGCATCCATAGGCTGATTTTGCTGCTGATATAGCACGCTAGAAAGAGAAAGTCAGAAAAAAAAATAGGTCAACTAAGAAAACTACTTAGCTTCTCAAGTGATATTAACTACTAAGTACATTACACGTTATGCAACAGTTGTATATCAAGTATAAGACCATTATTTTTATATAACGTCTTACCCTATTGAACACCATGTATCTGCACTTGCTTCTGATTTATCAATAGACTGCCTGTAAGATATAAAGGCATCCTGAACTTTCCCAATACTTGAATAGCACCTGAGAGGGGAGGGAAAAAAAAATCCAGACAATTCCATTAATACTGATTAATTTTCTGAAAAACTTCAAGGCAAATAAAAAATCCTAATAAGCTTACATATTTCTGTGAATGTGTATATATATATATAAAATTATAATGTACATTATAATTAACCATTCAGTGAACTATATTGTAGTTTATCTGATAAGTGCTAAAGCATGCTGCATTAATGAACAATATTAAAATAATTAAGAGCCCATATTACTTCAATATCATATAGAGAGTGGAAAGTGCACACGTGCACACACACGCACACGTGCCATTCCACTTAAATAGCTTGATCTATTTATATAGCTTACATTCAGTAAGAACACAGAGTTAAAAACCAAGAAAACCATCCTATGCTGGTAAGACTTGCTGAATCGGATTTCAGTTCTCCTTTCCTAAATAATAACCACGAGCTCAATCATTCTGTAATTCGTAAAAAATACAAACATTAAGGGCACCTGGGTGGCTCAGTCGTTAAGCGTCTGCCTTCAGCTCAGGTCATGATCCTGGAGTCCCAGGATCGAGTCCCACATCAGGCTCCCTGCTCAGCAGGGAGTCTGCTTCTACCTCTGACCCTCTTCCCTCTCGTGCTGTCTCTCATTCCCTCTCTCTCAAATAAATAAAATCTTTAAAATACAAACATTAAGATGCAGGTAAAATCAAGCTAACTATCAAAAACAGTAAAAATAGGGTGAGTGCAATATTTCACGACATGTAAGGGTAGCAAGGTATGATTAAAGTTTCAAGGACCTGTCATTTTCTTAATGCAGACGTACCAGATGGAAACACAGAGCAGCAGCTGAAACTATAAATATAGAAATTATCTTCTAAGTGCTTGGCACTAAGGAAAAAAGAAAAAACAGAACCCAGTCCCTGCCTTCAAGGAGCTTACAATTTAGTTGAGGACTGAAGACACATTGCAAATGTCATGATGCCGTTATCATATGGCTGACAGAGACAAGAACTGTTCTGAGAATTTAGGGTAGAAGACACCACAATACACACTACAGGATTTAGGAAAAGCAAGAAAGGGAAGGGTAACACGAAGGAATTAGAGTATGTATAGATGCATATAGTTTAGATCAGTGATTATCAATTATCAGCCAATATATGGCAATTTGGCCATGAAAATAAAATGGAAAGGTAACATATACTTACATACATAAACTTTCCATTAAACTAATTAATACTTACATTGCAACCGACTTATTTTGAAATACAACTGGCTGAGTAAACCACAAAAAAAATTCTTTTTTTAAAGATTTTTATTTATTTATTTGACAGAGAGAGAGACAGTGAGAGAAGGAACACAAGCAGAAGGAGTGGGAGAGGGAGAAGCAGGCTTCCCGCGGAGCAGGGAGCCCGATGCGGGGCTCGATTCCAGGACCCTGGGACCAAGACCTAAGCAGAAGGCAGACGCTTAACGACTGAGCCACCCAGGTGCCCCAACAGCAAAAAATCCTAAATGTTTTTACGTGCCCAAATAGCATATTTGGATCCTCATAATTATTCTTTGAAATTTTACTGATTCATGTAATACAAAAGTCTGGGAACCACTGATTCAGACGGAGAAGATGAGAGAAGGCATTTCAAAATGTTGTTTGAACAGTATGAGCAAAACCTAATGTACAGAAGACAGCATGGATACAAAGAATAGAGAATTATAAATCCAGCCCAAGGATAACCTGAAGTTTTTGGTCTTCTAACAAGAGAAATGGCACCACGAAAGCACTTTATAGGAATATTAATCTGCTAACAATGTGTAGGGATAAACTGAAAGGAAAATAAATTCTGGACAGTAAAAAAGAAGGCAGCTATACTCACTGGCTTGGAAAAGGCCAAAATTGGGGTAAAAGTAATGAAAATGGCAAGAAAGGAAAAGAAGGGAGAAATAGTAAACCAAAAAGACAGATAAAGACTTTGTGACCAACTTATTAGATATCCACGGCGGGGGGGGAGGGGAGAATAACTTAGATTTAAGCCTGAGCAAACAAGAGTTTAAAAAAATAAATAAATAAAAAGTGACCTCATTGGCAAAACTAAAAGGAGAGGAGATGGTTTGGAAAAGAATATGAGGTTTGAAATATGCTTACTTTGATGTGAGGTGAGAACACTAAAATGGATAATGTAAGGTAAAGAATAAGAGATGTGGTCCTGAAATTTAATACCTTGAAATATAGAGATCTAGATTTGGAATTCATCCACATAGAAGAGAGGGTTTAAGAACATAGGACGACTACAAGGGAGAGGTGAAAATAAGCCTAAGGAATCACTAATCTTATGGATTGGGCAATTATAAATGTCAGTGACTGAGACAGAGAGGGCCGTGGCAGAGCGCGCCTGCAAACTTTTACAAAGGGAGAATTCAGGACAATGCCAAACAGGGACAGATACCACAAAGGAAGGGAATGCTTCACAAATAGTAGAAAACATATCCTGTTTGTTGTTGTTAAATCAAAGCCAAATCTTAGATTTATAGACAAATTTACCTAACCACTGAGAGGAATAAGCAGTAATTCCCCAACCAATGTTTTCACATTCCATTCCTACAAAGTCAAAGTAGGAAACCAATGTGCCCAAATGCAGATTTCCCAGTCCAACCACCAACCACTTTTCCTCTAATAAAACTTAACTAAGTTCCCCTGAGACAGCCTTGTGTCTCTGAAAAAGCAATGAGTGAACCTAGGCTCTAGTTCCTGTTCTGATTTAGTTACCTGTGTGACTATGACCTTGGACAAAACATTTTCCTCCTCTGAACTCACTTTCTATATCTGTAAAATGACAGGGTTTACAGAGTGAAGCAGGTGACCTCCCTGGTCCCTCCCAGCTCTAACATTCTATAGTTCTGTGCTAACAATGTCAGTGATCAGTACCAGTATGAGGATTACCACACCACCCCTGTATTATGATACACACATGCCAAATGACATCTTCAACACAGACCTGAATGCAAAGGTAAGTAATAAAAAGCCTTAGAAATATTAGGGTCATCAAATCCCAAAGTTGCTTACTGACACTTGAGGTCTCCATTCAGAGCTTTAATAACTTTTAAAATATATATTATTTATAAAAATTTTCTCACAACAAAAAGGATTAGAAGCAACACATCAGAAGGCAGTGAAAGGAGATCAAAAAAAGTAAACATCAATGAAAAAAGTCTAAAACAATCGTCGAATTATGTTATTACGGATAAAAAAAAATGAACATCTAACATGATAATGTTGAATTCCAAAACAAATTAAACTGAGGTAAGTATCCTTTATTTGAGAAATCGTAAAGCATGTTGTATATTTGGAAAATTTTATCTGAAAAGATTCAAATAAAAGCATCTCAGTGGCTTAAAAAGAAAAGTTAACTAAAATTAAAAAAAAAAAAAAAACAACCCTCTTGTGGAATACTGCTCACTGAGCTGAAAATTACAGCATTACTAAAATAGTAATTTTAGATGTTTAAATGCCTAGAATTTTTTTTTAAGTATACTAAAAAAACATCAACACTACTGTATTGTATTAAACTACTAATCTTTATTTTAGGTCAAAAGGGAAATAATGTCTGGTACACATGCCTTTTAACCTATATTAAAATAAATTTTCATATATAATGTTAACACTAGAGGTGATGACTAGGCAGCCCCTACTTTCCAGTGCTGGACCTCCTTTCCAGTCCCTGTATGAAGCCTCCCACTGTGCAACACTAACACTAGCAATGGGGCTAGCTTTAAACACAAATAGTGTTCAGTCAGTTCATTTATTCCATTTATTGAATAGCCACTTTGCTAGGCAAGAATATACAAAGATGGTAAAAGATCCAGTTTCTGCTCCCAAATATCTTCAGTTAAAGAGAAAGACAAAGTTTGGACTCTTAAGCTTTACTAGTGAGCAACCCAAATCAGATTACTTTATAAAGCCTTGGAAGGTATTAGAAAATTTCTGCTAAAAATAGGTACTTTCCCAACCAACTCTTATTGTACATTAATGACTAATCAAAAAAATTTAAAAAAAATCTTAGTATTACTCCATCTCATAGAAACACTTTGCTAAATTTAAAGGAAAATGAAATCATACAAAATACTAAAACTTAATGTGATTTATGGAAAACTCAAAGAGCTTAAAATTAAAACAAAACAGGATAATTTCAAAAGAAATCATAAAATTGAAACCTTCAGGGTGAGAAGGTACCTAACATAATCTATAACCAGGGTTTCTCAACCTCAGCACTACTGACATTTTGGGTCAGGTAATTTTTTGTCCTAGAGGGCTGTCCCACTAGATGCCTGTAGCATTCCCCATAGTTGTGATAACCAAGTATTTCCACACATTATAAAATGTCCCCTATGGGACAAAATAGTCCCCTATGAAAACCAACAATCTAACATAATCCTCTTATTTAATAGGTTAAAAGAAAATTGAAGCATCAAAAAGTTTAACTGCGCCATCCATGATTCCACATATAGTAGCCTAACCAAGACTTGAATCCAAGTCCCTCAACTCCTAGTACACTGATCTTTCCACCATACCACAAAAGATAAAACCAGTTAGGAAACAAAATACAATCTAATAATGGCCCCAAAATATAATCTATCAGATACATATACAAAAGATATATTTCAGATAATCAGTAAGCACAATTTTGGCATTTAAAGAACAGAGAAAAGTTTATAGACTTGCAGAAAACTATTTTCATTATATGTCACTTTCTCCTTTCCAACAAATCCACTAATAATGTATCCACTTTCTCACTGTGAGATGTCAAGTAGAATTGAGACCTACTATTAATCAAATTATGTCCATTCTAATGTATATATCATTATTCCAAATCACAAACAGCAAGGTCCCATTGGCTACTGGTGGTCACTAGGCAGAGTAAGAAATTAATTCTGTTCTGTTAAATAGACATATAAAGAAAATACTAGAAATCAGAAGAAAGGGCATTTAAACACTAGAATGAAGAACTACTATCTGATAAGACTTTTTAAAAACCAGCAATAATTCACGTCAAATGAAAATCCAACAAGCAAAATGAGAAATGTCCCAGTAGAGCAGACTATGCTGTGAGGAAACTACCACATTCAGAAGTTTTCTTTAACTCCCAGAAATCTGTGTGATAATATATTTAAAAAGGAAAATTCACTGATCATCTTATAAATGTAAACAAACGTTTTAGCTCATAATTCAAATCTCTTAGGTGGAAAAAACAAAAGCAAAACTTAAGTATAGTCTCACCTTCCAAGGAAATACCAGGACTGGCCAGAATTAGGATCTGCTTCCAAGGACTTCTGGAGATACTGAATAGCATAGCTTTCCTTGGTGGCTTTATCTCCCAGAAGATCCACAGTGTGATGCATCCAACCTATAGTAAATGATTAAAAAGTATTTACTAAATGACTTAATTGTTCTTCAGTTTTTAAGAATACCAAGCAGAAAACACTTAAGTAAAAATATTCTTTTTTCAGTCAACTTATTCATTTAGTTTGGCATATACATTCCCAAAATTTAGAACTGCCAATTCTGATTATAAGGAAGTCTGTTTCTCACAGGAAGGTACAGTCAAACCTAGAAAGAACTTTATTCCAGAGAAACTGAAACGATATTAAGCACTGATTTAACACTTAGTAGATTACAAACTATAGTTCCTCTTTTCTAATTTTGGTATTTGAAAAAATTCCAAGTTATGAAACAAAGCATATAAAGATGTTCAATCTTACTCAGTGCTCTATGTAAAACTTTATGTACATTTTAGGACTCTCCAAGACAGTCTATTAACCCAAGGTTTATTTCCAAGGAATAAATATTAAGACTATTTAATCAATGATAGCTCAGAGTACAACACACACATATAACCCTACCTCACTGGCATTGGCCACATATGTTCACAACTTATCTAAAATAAAAACTATAAAGCATTCGACAATTGTTTAAAAAATATTCAAATGGCATAAATAAAAATAGTATAAAATGCGTACCACAAACGTTTAATAACTAAATTTAGATAGTGCACAATACTGCATAATCTCAATTGTATGTAGAATCTCAAAAAGCTGAATACATAGAAGCAGATATTAGAATGATGATTACCAAGAATGGGGAGGTAGGGGAAATGGGGAGATACTGGTCTAAGGGTACAAAGTTGCAGTTATGTAGGATGAGTAAGTCTAGAGAGTAATGCACAACAGAATGACTATACTTAATAATATTGTAATATATACTGGAAATTTACTGAGAGAGTAGGTTTTGGGTGCTCCAACAACACACAAACAAATGGTAACTATGTGAGGAGATGGATCTGTTGATTAGCTTGACAATACTATTCATTTCACTATGTATAGGTATATCAAAACAGTTGTACACCTTAAATATGCACAATTTTTATAGGACAGGATAGGATAGGAAGAGGGAAGAGGAACGGAAAGGAAAGGAAAGGAAAGGAAAGGAGAGGGCTATGTAAGCAATCAAAAGATTGGATCATGGAATAATGTATTCTAAAACCTTTAAGACACACAGGAATAATTTGGTTTAATTTGCTGGGGAAATCATATTTCAGTTGTGGATCAATTCAAGTGCATAAAATCAGCTCTGTTCTTTGTATATAGTCCATATTATATGAAACAAATAAGGACCCTTATTTTCTGACATTTATTATAGTTGGTGTGCTCCAAAAGATATTTCAAGGAGATTGAGTTACTATATTTTATGGAAATACACATCAATCACACATTTACGTTTATTCATCTGTTCCTCCATTAGCCCCTATTACTAGTAAGAATGGAACCTAGAAAAACAAGCTCTAAAAGGAGCTGCTTAAGCAGCAGTGACAAGCAAGTAGGAAGGACTGATGTGCAGGCATAAGTCAGACTTAATTAGGAGAAGTATTTTTCTGTTCAAAAGCATGAAAGGTTTATTATACTTACACACTCTGAAATATGGTAAGCCAATGCCAAAGACGACAGGTGATTCAGACATAATCCAAAATTATTTCAATCTATTTCCTAAATTTAAAAGGTGTATGCATTTTTGCTACTTGACATACTCTTCACTGCAGCTAAAATGCATAAATTAGCTGAATGAGTAAGCTGCCTTATGCTAAAGGCACCACTTTGTTCTTTTTACTTAAGAACACAAAACCTTTCTTTACTGTACTAGTAAGCTTGTTTTAAATTTTTTTTTAAGATTTCATTTATTTATTTGAGAGAGAGCCTGTGCACATGTGAGCAGAGGAGTGACAGAGAGGGATAAACTTGTTTTAATTTAAAGATACAAATTCACAAAACTCAAACATGATCTGTAAACTTATTAAAAAAATATTCAAATACTTCCATATTTTTTAAAAGTATGGATAACTCAAGTAAAATTCTAACCAGAGATTAAATTAAAAACAAAGCTAAAAACAAAAGTTTTATATTAAGGCAATGTGCTCATTTTGTATAATTAATCATATGATAGGTATCAATATCATGAAGATCAGTGATAGAATCTAGGCTTAAATGATTTTAAAATTATATAAAAAGTCATATTATGAAAATACTCATATTACTACACGTTGGTTAAAAATTAAAGAATAAATTAATTATTTGCCCAGACCAAAAACAAATAAACAAAAGCTGGGGGGAAAAACCCAAATAACACATACATACAAGAAACATGACTAACTACACAACAAAACAAAATGTAAGGAACTCAATCACTATCTTCTTGGTCACAGTGACATATTACATCCAAATGGCTATGTTTCTTCATCTTTAACATTAGACTAGAATATTGCATGGGTATGAAAACACTCTACTGTTAGATGTTCCACAACTTTTAGATGAAATGTTTTAGTTAATATTATTGACAGAGCTATGAAAGCAAGCTCACCAACCACCAAGTGACTTTAGACAAATCATTTAACTTCATTCAGTGCTAAGCATATCTGGCACAAAGGAAGTATTCAACCCCCTTCACCCACAGGTTAAGTACTAAAGAATAATTCTGAGAATTTAAAAGGACTAGCTACACCGAAGAACTGAAATGAGATGGACAATGCTTGGCAAAAGGTGGAAATATGCTCGGTTCAGATTAATTCTATCAAGTCTGGGTAAAAGAAGGAAAAAGAATAGAATACATGAGCCACATATTTGCCATCCCTGACATGTAAAAATCATAAAGAGAAATACTTATAATACACTAAATGTACACTATTACATACCTAACTGTTGTAAGACAGTTGCCTTTACTTGTGCAGAAAGGTTTTCCGTCTGCAAAAGTTGTTCATAAGCTTCCTTTGCAGAATGATACTTCCTCTAAAAAGCAGAAAAAAAGAGATTTAAAGAAAAATAAAATTGGTATCTTTGAAGAATTAGCTCCTATATTAAGATTTACTACATAATACTAAAAAAGAAAAAAGATTTACTACATAATCCTGATACTTTAGCGTATTTCTTACAGCCAACTGAAAGAAGAAAGTGCTAATTCCATTACGGAATGTTCCTTTAACACTAGACCGTTGTGGATAATAGGTCCATGTTTCAGAGTAACTAATACCAGTAAACATTCAATACAATAAAGTATTAAAATATGCCCTTTTAAGAATTTGCCAACTCTCAATTGTTAAAATCATCTCAACTTATTTAATAACAAATAATTTCATCTTTATTATGTAACACTGATGAAGCTAGAGAAATATTCTACCTCCAAGTGCATAATCTCTGTACCTAGAAACACCTAGTTCCCAAGCAACTTAATATAAACAACGGAGTATAACACCAAAAATGTTTTTAAAAATCTAAATGCAAAATTAGTTAAAATCTAAGTTTAAAGGTACTGGTATATATCCTATGGAAAAAATTTATAATATGTATGACTTTAAAGATACCAAACCTCCTGTACTTACAGAGTAACAGCGTTCACAACACTTAAGGTTCCATAGGCAAAACCTCTAAATGAAACCATTTACCCAAAGTCCCCTCCCCCAAGTGACAGAAACCCATTATTGCTACAGTTATAAAGCTTCAGGAAGCTCCTCCAAGAAAAAGGGGAAGGGGGGAAAAGGGTAAGTCAACAAAAGAAAACCTCCTAAATATTACCTTTAAAACATACTCAGCAGAACAATGGATTGAAGTGGCTTTTATTCATTATCAGCAATAGTCCATAGCTGCCTGAGCAAACAAATTCTTCTCAAAAAAAAAAAAAAAAAAAAAAATTGGTAGGGGAGCGCCTGGGTGGCTCAGTCGGTTGTGTCTGCCTTCGGCTCAGGTCATGATCCCAGAGTTCTGGGATCGAGTCCCGCACTGGGCTCCTTGCTCAGCAAGGAGTCTGCTTCTCCCTCTCCCTCTGCCTCTCCCCCCACCCCAGCTGGCTTGTGCTCTCTCCCTCTCACTCACTCTATCTCTCTCATATAAAATCTTAAAAAAAATAAATAAAAATAAAAATTAAAAAAAAACCATAGGTACATATACAAAACTAGCTGTAGGATCCTCAGGCAAATCACTAAAACTACAATTCAACATCCATAAAACAGAGCTAATACCCAATCTTTTCTATCTGGAGTTGTTCTAAGGATCAAATGAGATAAGCTAAGAGCTAGAGAAACAAATAAGGTGCTACTTGAATACAGTATGTGAACACAGTAAAGATCTGAAAGAACTAGCCATTAAGATTAACAGAAGTTACTACATAAACTTTTACTCATCAGTTAAATTAGTTCCCCCTATTAATCTGATCCCAAAAAGTTGTTGAGACAATTAATACAAGGTAAGGACCAAGTTATCCAACTCAATTCCTTCAAATGATATGCTAAAACATACTTCCAAACACAAGTAATAATAATAAAAAGACAACATACTTGAAAAACTGGTTGCATCACACTGAGAAACATAAAGTTGGATTTCTACTTCTTATCATATATAGGCAGAGAAGCATATGAGAGAAAAAATGTAGGAGAGGACGCCTGGGTGGCTCAGTCGGTTAAGCGGCTGCCTTCAGCTCAGGTCATGATCCCAGGGTCCTGGAATTGAGTCCCGCATCGGGCTCCTTACTCAGCAGGGAGCCTGCTTCTCGCTCTGCCTGCAGTTGCCCCTGCTTGTGCTCTCACTCACTCTCTCTCGCCTATGCTCTCTCTAGCAAATAAATAAATAAAATCTAAAAAAAAATTAAAAAAATGTAGACTATTCCCTTAAGATGGGAATGAATTTCTTTGACATGGCCAAAAACAATACAAATCATAAGGAAAAGTAAAGATCTGATTTGAAACACAAAGCAGAAAAATAGGCAATGGACACAAAAACCAACACATAAAAGGTGAAAAACATGTGAGCAAGTGTTTATCTCTAGAAATCAGAAAATGCAAGTTTAAATGAGATACCACCACCTACCCATCAGATTGGCAAACAAGAAAGTTGAGTAATCCAAGTCTTTTGGGGATGTGAGTAAAGAAAACCACTCATGCCCTGCTGGAAGGGGAATCATTCATGAAATCAGGTATGCAAACACACTACAATCCAGCAAGCTCACTCTTGGGACACAGATGCCAAAGAAACCTTTCCACAGGTAATGTTCTAAAATGGTACTGTTTACAGTATCAGGAACTGGGGTCAACCTAGGTCTATGTCACTAGGGAGTGAAAACATAAAATATGATGGATGCTTATACTAGAACAATAAGCAGCAATTACATATGGCATATGAAAAGCAACATGAGTTTAAAGGTGTTTAGTAAAAAGCGTTGCTTCTGGTAACGTTGGAGTAGCTGTTCCACAGGAACTTTCAGTTACAGATAAAATATAAGTCAACTATCAGAAAGCCTAGGGCGCCTGGGTGGCTCAGTCGTTACGCGTCTGCCTTCGGCGGCTCAGGTCATGATCCCAGGGTCCTGGGATCGAGTCCCGCATCGGGCTCCCTGCTCGGCAGGAAGCCTCCTTCTCTCCCTGTCCTACTCCCCCTGCTTGTGTTCCCTCTCTTGCTATCTCTCTGTCAAATAAATAAATAAAATCTTAAAAGAAAAAAAAAAACCTATCAGAAAGCCTAGGGAGAAACCAAATCAGGCTAAAACCACCCCTAAGAAAAGGCAATGGCACTGGATGAGTAACCCCCTTTTACTAGGATTTTCACCTGAGAGCAGAGCAGGCCTTAATTGGTGCCTGGTTGGCTAGAACGCAAAAGAAATGAGCAATCTCACTAGCCTGAAGAATCAGAGGACACACTTTGAAGCTATCACAAGGGCTAGAAGTGAGGGGAGAAATCCCAGGAAGGAGAGAGTGAAAGAAAGAGAACACCAAATTCTGCAATTAAACTCTGCCTAAATCTCTTGTTGACTGCTGAACTATGCATGTACACGGCAGATGTCCAGCAGCCTAAAAGAACTAAAGAGAGATTTCAGCCACTGTCAGCTACAGGGGTGTCCACATTTAGAGTGTGCCTTGAGCAAAATTAACTGGTTTATGTAAAACAAAAAGATCAATCTTCAGAAAAATATAACAAAGTCACTCCACAATGTATTATTCATAACAGCCAGGATAAAATTACCAGACTTATAAAGAATGAGGAAGATTTTACTCACATTCAAAAGAAAAGGGAATTAATGAAAATAAACCATGAAATTAGATGATGAAATTTGTAAATAATTTTAAGGCAGCCATTTTAACAATTCACGGATAGTAAGAAAAAGAGAACCATAATGAGTGAATGGGTTAATTAGAGCATGGAAAGAAACCAAAAAATTCTAAAAACTGAAAAATATCTGAAATTTAAAAAATAAATCACTGGAAAGATTGAATAGCAGATTGGAGACTTAAAAATAAAAGCCATCCAAAGATAAATGAGACAATAACAGTCTACCATACATGTAACTGGAGTCCAAGAAGAAGGGAGAGAGAATGGGGCAGAAAAGATAGAACGGCTGAGAGCTTTCCAGAACTGATGAAAGATAACAAATCCCACATCCAAAAGACTAAGAAAACCACAAAAGAAAAAAAAAAACAATCCCTGGGCTCTTCACAGTCAAACTCTTAAAAACCAAATGGAAAGAGAACTTTGAAAACAGCCAGAGAAAAACAACAAAATACAAAGGATACAAGAATGATAAGAATGACAGCCAAATTAAATATAATGGACTAGACATTCCAAACAAAAAAAGACATGTCCAGAAAAGATTTAGGAAAGAGCCAAAAACATACCCTAAGAGATGCACTTTACATATAAACACATAAGAAGGTTGAAATAAAAGGATGAAAAAGATAACATGCAAACAACTAAGCATTAGAAAGCTGAAGTGACCAGATTCAGATCAGATTAAGTAGGCTTCAAGGCAAAGATTATTACCAGAGATAAAAAAAAAAAAAATTTCACAATGATAAAGAACATCAGGACATAACAGTAACATAACAATAAAAGAGCTTCAAAATACATGAAAAGACTGACAAAATTAACAATGATAAAATAATATTAATTAATCTACATAATTTTTTCCAATTTCACCAACTCTCCAACTAATGTCCTTTTTCTGGTCCAAAATATAATCCAAGAACCCATACTATGTTCAGGTAGCACGTCCCTTTATTCTCCTCCAATCTGGAACAGATCCTTACTTTTATTTTCAGTACTTCGACACTTATAAAAAGTACTGGCTAGTTACTTTGAAGAATGTCCCTTGGAAATTAGTTAAGTACCACCTTGTGGGGACACACTCATCATTCCTCAATTCATTCACTAACTGAAATACTACATAAGAAAAAGTGTCCCCTTTCTTCCATTTATTTGCCATTTATATTCACAATTCATTTATAAATGAATATAAATTCAAATATAAATATACAAATTCATTTATATTCATTTACTTATAGAATTTATATAGAATTATTCATTTCAGTATGAGCTAAAACATTTTATTCTCTATCTTATATTTCATTATTATAATTGGTTTCTAAACTTGTGTCAAATTTGCTGATTAGAAACCCCATCCCCTCAAAAGTTGACTCCTGTGTTTTTTCCACATGCCCTCATCATTTTTTTAAGTACTTCCTTACTTTGTGGCACCACAAAATGTTCTAGAGCTCATCTTGTAATTTCCTTGCCTAAGCCCTGGAATCACCCACTTCTCCCCAAGAATCCCTGGTTCCTTTTATATTTAAGAATAGTATTTAGAAACAAAGATCTGGGTGCTAATGTATTCACTACTGCAGAGTTGGGTCATTGCCTCCAGGCCCTCCCAGCAAACAGAGCTAGAAAACATATTTATGTGTACACACACACACACACCTGTATTTCTATCCAACTACCCATAACCCTAAATAACCATATATTCATAT